TTAAGTGGCCAATAATTGTGGATTTTTCAAGGACATGAAGACCCACAATCCAGAACAATAATTTTGGTTTTTTAAAGAATATTTTTCCAAAATGGATTTTTTAAAAATATATTTTTTTTAACCCAACTTGGATTTTTTAAAAATATGTTTTTTTAAGACCGACGTGGATTTTTTTAAAATAGGTTTTTGGATTTTTTATTATTTTTTTTTAATATATATTTCTAAGACCAATGTGGATTTTTTAAATATAGATGTTTTAAGACCAATTTGGATTTTTTAAGATTATGTTTTTTTTTTTTAAATATTTTTTTTTTTTTTGAAACCAACGTGAATTTTTTAAAAATATATTTTTTATGACGTGGACTATTTTAATAATATATTTTTTTAAGACATGTATTTTTAAAAAAAATATTTTTTTAAGACTTGAATTTTTTAAAAATATATTTTTAAAAGACGTGGATTTTTTTAAAAAATAAATTTTTTTAAGACCATCGTGGATTTTTTCAAAATATTTTTTAAGACCAACGTGGATTTTTTCAAAATAATTTTTAAGACCAACTTGGATTTTTTCAAAATATTTTTAAGACCAACGTGGATTTTTTGAAAATATTTTTTAAGACCAACCTGGATTTTTTCAAAATATTTTTTAAGACCAACGTGGATTTTTTCAAAATATTTTTTAAGACCAACCTGGATTTTTTCAAAATATTTTTTAAGACCAACTTGGATTTTTTCAAAATATTTTTTAAGACCATCGTGGATTTTTTCAAAATATTTTTTAAGACCAATGTGGATTTTTTCAAAATAATTTTTAAGACCAACTTGGATTTTTTCAAAATATTTTTAAGACCAACGTGGATTTTTTGAAAATATTTTTTAAGACCAACGTGGATTTTTTCAAAATATTTTTTAAGACCAACCTGGATTTTTTCAAAATATTTTTTAAGACCAACGTGGATTTTTTCAAAATATTTCTTAAGACCAACGTGGATTTTTTCAAAATATTTTTTAAGACCAACCTGGATTTTTTCAAAATATTTTTTAAGACCAATGTGGATTTTTTCAAAATATTTTTAAGACCAACATGGATTTTTTCAAAATATTTTTTAAGACCAACATGGATTTTTTCAAAATATTTTTTAAGACCAACATGGATTTTTTCAAAATATTTTTAAGACCAACATGGATTTTTTCAAAATATTTTTTAAGACCAACATGGATTTTTTCAAAATATTTTTTAAGACCAACATGGATTTTTTCAAAATATTTTTTAAGACCAACATGGATTTTTTCAAAATATTTTTACAACAGGCTGACAGACCGAAAGACGAACAGGGCTATATCGTCTTAGAATTTTACGCTTATCAAAAATATATACTTTGTTAGGTCTAAAATTATTATTTCGATGAGTTACAAACGAAATTGACGTTCTTAATATACCCTCCATAATTTGTATGGTGGAAGTTATAAAAACGATTTTTAAAATATTTTTTTAAATATTTTTTTTTTCAGGGACCAACAGACCAATGATCATGGATTTTTTCAAGGACCAAGAGACCGATTATCATGGATTTTTAAGAATATTTTTTCAAGGACCAACAGAGGAAGGACCAATGAATTTAAAGAATATTTTTTCAACGACCAACATACTAATAATAGTGGCCCCTTTTTAAGCACTTTTTTTTAATACAAATAGAAATATTTTAAAATAATATTTCATAAACGCTATCTCAACCCCTCAGGAGTCCAAAGTTATTTGTGTGGCTATCGAAAAAACAAGCTACATGTTCAGGGTCAGACCTCTTGAGAGTTTCGTTTATTACTGATAATTATGAGCTGCATAACAACTGTCGAAGTTTTTAGTTTAAAAAATGCTTCATTGCAAATTTAGATTAATTTAATCTGCAGAAAATAATCGAAAATCGTGAGTTTGAACAATAATATCATAACATTTTATAATCATATGAATCACTGATTCGATATGATTTAATAAAAAACTTCAAAACATATTCCTTTTATGTTCAATAATACGAAAAATAGAGGTGAAAAGTCCAATGCAAGACGAGTTAAAATAACAATTAACCTGTTCCCTTGGCAACTCTGTCAGACACATGTCATAAAATTTAGAATAAGGCCACAGTGACTTCTAACACTACACAATGGTCGGAAAAATACCATATCATCATTATCAGGCAATATCAATAGCCGATCACAGGTGATTGAGAAATTAGGTGAATAATATGTTGTGAGTCACGGAACGGATGGAACTGAAGTTCTGAAATTTGAAATTAACATTATTTGGCGGAATGTAGGATTGGGATATGGAGGAAGCGTTCAAAATTTGTACTTATGTACACGAAAAGTACTAAATGGTACTAAATTTGGTACAATTTCGATTTGGGTGAACCGATAGAGCTGGAATTTTAAAATTGGAAATTGGAAACTACATTTGGTGCAATTTAAATTTTGGGAGTACCAATAATTGAAAATTTTAAATTTGGAAATAAGATTTCTATTGGACTGTATGATGTAGGTGGCTATGGAAATTTGTACTTATGTGTACTAAATGGTAGTAAATTTGGTACAATTTGGATTTGGGTGAACCAATAGAGCTGGTATTCTGAAAATTGGCAATAAGATTACTGTCGGAGCATAGGTTTGGGATATGTAGGTAGTTTTTGAAAATTTGTACATGTATGTACTAAAATGTACTAAATAAAGTACAATTTCTATTTGGGCGAAACTAAATGGTACTAAATTTGGTACAAACTGGCGTTCCGATGAACTGATGGATCTGAAATTCTGAAATTTGGAATGAGAGTCACTGATGGAGTGCAGGATAGATGTACCAAAGGGTTATTGGAAATTGAAACTTTTAGGTTACGAAAAGTTCTAAAATGGCACTAAAGTTTTAAAATAATATCATTTTCTATTATGTGAACGGTTAGAGCTAATAGCCGGAAATTTGGTATGAGAATCAAGGTTGGAAAGTGAGTTTGATATATAAAAATGGTTCTGAAAATATGTACTAAGCATGCGAACTGTACTAAATGGTACTAAATCTGGAACAGTTTGATTTAGGGTGAACTGATGAAGCTAAAATTTTTACATTTTGTGTTAGGCTCCCTGTTGGTGGTAGGTTCGTGATAAAGAGGCTGTTTTAGAAATTGTACTACAATTACTCGAAAAGTACTAAATTGTACTAAATTTGGTACAATTTGGTATTAGGTGAACAAAAAGAGCTTGAAATCTGAAAATTGGTATTGGGGTCACTGTTTTTGTGTATCCTGGACATATGGAGGTGGTTCCGGAAATGTGTACCATAATTGTACGAAAAGTGCTGAATGGCACTATATTTGGCATTGGGTGAAGGGATAGAGATAAAATTCTGAAATTTGATTTTTAGATTACTGATGGTATCTGTGTTTGAGATTTGGTGGTGGTTTGGAATTACGTTCCATATTTGTACGAAAAGTATCAAATGGTACTAAATCTGGTATTTGGTGAAGGGATATGGCAGGAATCCTCAAATTGGATATTGAGGTCTCTTTTGGTATCTGCAAATGAGATATGGAGGTGGTTTTGGAATGCGTACTATAATTGTACGAAAAGTACAAAATGGTACTAAATTTAGTCTTGGATGAAGTTATAGAGCTGAAATCACGAAATTTGGTATTGAGGTCTGTAATTGTATCTGGGACTAATGGTGGTTTGGATATGTGTACCATCATTTTTCGAAAAGTACTAAATAGTACTAAATTTGGTATTGGGTGAAGGAATAGAGCTAGAATCCTTAAAATTTAACATGGAGGTCTCTGTAGGTATCTTTAATTGAGATATGGAATATGTTTTAGAAATGTATATATAAATTTACGAAAAGTACTAAGCGGTACAAAATTGGTTACTTGGGAGAAGGGATAGAGCTGGAATCCCGGAATTCAATATAAATGTCACTATTGGGTTCTGTGGTTCAAATATGGACGTGGGTTTGGAAATGCGTACTATAGCTGTTCGAAAAGAAATTTCAAAATTGAAATAAATTTGGTATTGAGTGAATGTATAGATCTGGAATTTCGAAAATAATTTGAAATATCTCTTGGTATAAGGAGTTGGAAGGGGCTTGAAAATTTTTAAAAAATATTGTAAAAAATACCGTTTACCGAAGTGGTGGACCTGCATAGAAAATTTTCAGTTCAAATACGAAATTTGAAACATTTCCGCTAAATAATTTCGCTAAAATCATCAAAATAAAGTATATTTGAATGTGCCGTTATATGGGGCTATACGAAAACCTGGATCGACATCGCCAAATCGACTTCGAATTTTACACCGATCAAGAATATATATACTTTATTGGGTCTGACATGAATATTTCGAAGAGTTAAAAACAGAACAACAAAGTTTATGTACCCTCCATAGTATGGTGGAGACTTTAAAAGACACAAGGTGAACTTTTGGAACGAATCTAACATTTTAGAGAGTACTGACGAAGTAGCGGGGCTAATATTTCAAATAATCCAATTTTTACAATTTTTTATTTTTCTGAATTTCGAACCCCATAACCGATGTTCGTGTTCAAAGGGTTGACCCGGATAGATAAACAAACAAACATGCTTGGAACTAATCTAAGACACAATGACTTGCATAAATAATGAAAATAATAATCGTCAGCATTAGACGTCATAAAATCGTCGACACACACACACACACATGCACACATGTGCATGAATGTACATAAATTTAAACAAACAGAGTTTTAATAAAAAATAATAACATGTCATCATGACATACATATGTCTACCCCCCTCTCTCACATCTGACCATCTTTTAATGCTTTCAATATGGAACACACCGAATGAGAGAGACATCAAACAATTTATTCAAAATTGCACTTTTCATAAATATTTAAAACAAAAGTAAAAAACGTTTTATATTTTCTTTGATGGACATTTGTTGCAGCAATGGAAGGTTTAAGGTTTAAGTGACGAGTGAACCCTCCTCCACTCGTCACTTAAACCTGTAACGTTGAGAAAAATGAAACAATTGCACTATCGGTGGGCAAACACTGGCCAAAGGCCTCGATGAGCAATGGTTGGGTGGCAACGGTCGTCATAAAATCTTCCAGGGAGACCTAAGTAAATTTTGGCGGGGAGAAAGAGAGGAGAGAATTTAATACGAGCAACATTATTGCTGGCAATTTGTCTTTTTTTCTCGTTCTACTCACCTTACCATCCTTATCAACATCAAACTTCTTCAAGACAATTTCCACCAAATCCTTTACACCCTCATCGGGATCCTCATCCTGTGGCTGTTTGATAAGACAATTCCTCAACAGCGTAAACATTTCATCTTTGGTTATGAAGCCATCACCATTCAAATCATAGACACGAAAACAGAAAGCCGCTCTCTCCGCCGGGTTGCCGCGCAGAAATGTCGACAGGCCAATTAACCAACCTTCTAGGCGTATGGGCAAACCTTCGTGAGACTTGTCCCAGCTGCAAAATATTCGCTCCATAAGAATTTCCTCTGTGACAATATCGAAGGTGCTGTGCAGCAGTTCTCGGAATACAATGCGGTCAATGCCCTTTTGGAGGATAGAAAGGAAAACATAAAAATTAAATATTAACTGACCAATTATTTTTGAATAATAGGGACTTGTTACGAATATTTTACCTCCTGTGTCTGTGGTTTAGCAATGGCTGCACCCGATGGCCCAGATGATAATGACTTGGCGGCATACTGGTTATTGGACACCAATTTTCGATAAATGCGATTTAGAGATTCAATTTCGTCCCTAAAAAAGATATCAGAATTTATTCCTTAAACAAATATACTTCTTAAAAAGATCAACATGGGATGTTGTGGTGGTCCTTGAAAATATATTCTCAAAAATTCCGGTTTAAATGTCTTTAGTGAAAAAATATTATTTTTCCGTTGGTCCTTAAAAAATATTATTAAAACAAATAAAATTAAAAAAATTTAATCCATGATTAGTCATTGAAAACATTTTTAAAAAAAAAAAAATAAAAAATCAACGATAGACCTTGAAAAAAATATTTAAAAAAAAATCCATGAATAATCCTTAAAAAATATTTTTTTTTTGTATAAGAACCACAAATAGTCCTTGAAATAATATTTGCTTATAATTCACGAATAGTCATTGAAAAACGTTTAGTTATTAAAAAAATCCACAAGAGTCCTGGAAAAAAGTATTTTTATAAAAAAAATTAAAAATATTTTTTTTTGAAATATAGTATTTGGGTCCTATAAAAATATTTGAAACAAAATCCACGTTCTTTAAAAATATTTTTAGATATATCCACATTTGGGCCTTAAAAATATTTTAGTCATTTGAAAATATTCTTAAATGTCCTTTAAAAATATTATTAAAAATCATTTCAAAATATTTTTAAAAAACCATGTTAGGTCCTTGTAAAATAATCAAAAAACATGACTTGTCCTTTTAAAATATTTTAAAAAAATCCACTTTTAGTCCTTTAAAAATATTTGTATAAAAATCCCCGTTTAAATCCTTTAAAATATTTGAAAAAAATCCACTTATCGTCCTTCTAAATTTTCTTAAAAGCCCTTTAAAAATATCTCTTTAGCAATCCTCGTTTGGTCCATTGAAAATATTTTAAAAAGTTCTTTTAAAAATATTCTTAACAAATCCGCGTTTGGTCCTTTGAAGATATTCTTACGAGTCCTTTAATAATATTTTCAAAAAATCCACGTTTGGTCCTTTGAAAATATTTTTAATAGTCCTTTAAAAATATTTTTAAAAATATCCACATTTGGCCCTTAAAATATTCTTAGAAGTCCTTTAAAAAAATATTTAAAAAAAACCAAGGTTGGTGATTTGAGAATATCTTGAAATTCCTTTAAAAATATTTTAAACAACCAAGTTTGGTTCTTTTAAAAATATTTAAAGAATCTACTTTTTGTCCTAAGGAAATTTTCTTAAAAGTCCTTTAAAAATATGTTTAAAACAATCCACGTTTGGTCCTTTGAAAATATTCTTAGAAGTCTTTTAAAAATATTTTTAAGAAAATCCACGTTTGGTCCTTTGAAAATATTTTTAAAGTTTCCTTTGTCCTTTTAAAATATTAAAAAAATCCACTTTTAGTCCTTTAAAAATATTTTTAGAAAAATCTCTGTTTAAATCCTTTAAAATATCTGAAAAGAAAATCCACTTATCGTCCTTCTAAATATTCTGAAAAACCCTTTAAAAATATATCTTTAATAATACCCGTTTGGTTCATTGAAAATATTTTAAAAAGTTATTTTAAAAATATTCTTAAAAAATCCACGTTTGTTCCTTCGAAGATATTCTTACGAGTCCTTTAAAAATATTTTTAAAAAAGTCCACGTTCAGTCCTTAAAAATATTTTTAAAAAAGTCCACGTTCATTCCTTAAAAATATTTTTAAAAAAGTCTACGTTCAGTCCTTAAAAATATTTTTAAAAAAAGTCCACGTTCAGTCCTTAAAAATATTTTTAAAAAATCCACGTTTTGTCCTTTGAAAATAGTCCTAAAAATAACAACGTTTGGTTCTTAAAAAAACATTAAAAAATTTTGTTTTTTTAATATTTTAAAAAATCCAAATTTTATTTTTTATCTGTATTAAAAAAACGCGTTTGGTCCTTTAATAATATTTAAAAAAAACCGCGTTTGATCCCCGTTAAGTCCTTTAAAAATATGTAAAAATCCCTATTTAGTACTTTAAAATTATTTCTTTTTAATTAATTTCTAGTCCTTTGTAAAATCCACATATTAGAAATATCCACATTTGTTCCTTAGAAAAAGTTCTTAAAAAATCCACGCTTGGTCCTTTGAAAATATTTTTAGAAATTCCGAGTTTGGTCCATTGAAAATATTTTAAAAATATCCACTATTGGTCCGCTGAAAATATTCTTAAGAGACGTTTAAAAATATTCATAAAAGTCCTTTCAAAATATTTTTTAAAAAATACACGTTTTCTTTAAACATATTTTAAAACATTCCACGTGAAAAATCCAAGTTGAGCCCTTTAAAAATATTCTTAGAAAAATCCCCTTTTAAAGCCTGTAAAATATTTAAAAAAAATCCACTTATAGTCCTTAAAAACATATTCTTACAATCTCCTTAAAAATTTTTTTTAAAAAAAATCACGTTTGGTCTTTTGAAAATATTTTTAAAAGTTTCTTCGAAAATATACTTATAAGCCCTTAAAAAATATTTTTTTAACAATCCACGTTATGTCCTTTGACCACCACGTTATATCTAAAACATTTTAAAATAATCCACGTTTGGTCCTTTAAAAATATTTTAAAAAATAATCCAGGTTTTATCCTTCAAAAAATCCACGTTAAGTCCTTTTAAAATATTAAAAAAATCAAAGTTTGGCCCTTAAAAAATATTTATAAAAATATCCACACTTAGTCCTTCAAAAGTTTTATGGTAAAATCCACGCTCGGTTCTTTAAAAATATATTTAAACTAATTCACATTTAGTCCTTCAAAAAAATATTTTTAAAAGTCTTTTAAAAATATTTTTAAAACAATTCTTTGAAAATTTTTTTAAAGGTCCTTCAAAAGCATTTTTAAATAAGTCCACATTTAGTCTTTTAAAAATATTTGAAAAAAATCCTTTAAAAATATTAAAAAAATCATGTTATGTCTTTCAAAAATAAAATTTAAAAATCCTTGACTATTGGTTAATTTTTGAAAAATATTTGGTCCTAAAAAATATTTAAAAAAACTTAGGAAAAAGCACTATTTATAATATATTTTAATCCTTGGAAAATACTCCAAAATATCCATGATTATCTGTTAATCCCTAAAAATAATCCTTTAAAATATTCTAAAAAACCTTTGACCAAACACTATTTACAATATCTGTTTATCCTTGAAAAGTGTTCCTAACAAATCATTGATTACAGTTGTGTCTGTTATTTCTATTAAAATATTCTTAAAATGCTTGAAAAAACAATACTTATAATATATGTTAATCCTTGGAAATACTCTCAGAAAATCCTTGATTATTGGTGTGCTAATCATTAAATAAAATATTTTTTTAAATCCTTCGTTATTGGTCTGTTAATCGTTGAAAAATATTATTAAAAATCCTCGTTTGATCCTTTAAAATAGTCCTAAAAAATCCTTGTGCAAACACTCTTAAAACCCCTGAACCCCTAATCCTAAGAAAAAAGAAATCGTGATAAGGGGTGTTAATCCTTGAAAAAATATTCTTAAAAGCCCATGATTATTGATCTGTCAATCCTTTACAAATGTTTTTGTTTGGTCCTTTAAAATAGTCCTAAAAAATCCTTTAAAAATACTACTTGCAATATCTGTTAATCCTTGAAAAAAACATTTTTAAAAAAATCCTTGATTATTGATCTGTTAATCCTTGAAAACTTTTCTTCAGAAATCGTCGTTTGGTATTAAAAATCCTTCAATATTGGTCTGTTAATCCCTGAAAAAAATATTTTTTCAAAAATTCCTCATAATTTTGGTAGGTTAATCCTTTGAAAGGTATTTTTAAAAATCTCTTGATTATTTATCTGTAATCCTTGAAAAGAAAAACTCTTAAAAAATCTTTGATTATTGGTCTATTAATCCTTAAAAAAATATTCTTTTTGGTCTATTAAAATATTGTTAAAAATCCTACTTACAATATATGTTAATCCTTAAAAACACTCCTTAAAATCCTCTACTATTGGTCTGTCAATCCTTGAGAAAAATGTTCTTAGAAAATCCTTGATTATTGGTCTGTTAATCCTTTAAAAAATATTCTTAAAAAATCCTTTATTTTTGGTCTGCCGATCTATGGATAAATATTTTTAAAAAGCTCCATTTATGGTCCTTTAAACTAAAACAATTCCTATCTTTTGCTGTTTATTCCTGAGAAAGTATTCTAAAAAATCCCCTTTCGGTCGTTTAAATCCTTTATTATTGGTAATTTAATCCTTGAAAAAAAAATATTCTTGAATATTGGTCTGATAATCCTTGAAAAAAAAATGTTCTTCAGCAAATCCAAGTTTGGTCCTCTAAAAATGTCCTAAAAAATCCTTGATTCTAGGCCTTTTAATCCTTGAAAGAATGTTCTAAAAAATCTCCCTTTGTTTCTTTAAAAAATGCTTAAAAATTCTATTTCTATTGATCTATTAAAATATTCTTAAAACATTTTCAGTTCTTGATTTGTTAGTCCTTAAACGAACTTCTCTTTATTTATCTCTCTCCTCAAAATACTCACTTTGTAAATCGTGTCTTCTTCCTCAGTTGCTCCAACAATTTCGGATTTATTTTACCACCCGACTCATCCATTTTGTTGCGTCGCACCCGCTGTCTGTTCGTTTCGGATTGTTTGGAATTTTCCGAATGACGTTTACCGCTTGCCAAAAATGCTGAAACTGATTTCAAAATAGCCGATGTATTTACATTTTTCTTGGCCGTCGAATCCTCGGCTGCGTCGGGGCCAACACCTCCAGCGGTGGCGGTATCATTGGTGGTGGCGGTGGTGGTGTTGTTATTGACACCTTGGGGTGTGGGACTGTTGTTGACACCCGCCTTCGTTTTGGTTGCTAATGAAAAGAAACATTGAAATGGAAACACATACGTTTAGGCAGAACAAGAAAGGAGTAAATCAAGACAAAAAATAATAGAATTAACACAGAAAGTTTTATTGGGAAAATATTTACAACAATAACAACAAAAAGCCCACAAACGGATATTGAAAAAACATTGTAATCAGTTATTTGCATGACATGCAATGGACTTAAATATTCCTCCGCTGTCTGTCTACATTACTGTCTGGAAATTGTTGTGTCTCGAAACTATGGCAAGTCGATTGGCTCCCCCGCTCTGGCAGACGTGCACACAGACGATTGGAAAACTATTTAAAAACAAGATTCTATGGCAACAACAAATGAAACAATTGGAGTTTGCACTTACAAAGTAAATATATAGACTCATGTGATCCTGTTGAAAGGATTCAGTTATTTTTAATAGATTTTAATAGAACACTTGTTGGAAATTTTTTCCCACTTAAATTACGGTAATTATTTCAAAATTATGAATAACAGCAAATTTAAAAAATTCCCTCTTGCATATTCCTTATTGGACTAGGTGGCGTATGTTGAATTTAATATATTTCTCATACGCCACTCTGGCCAAAATTTAATTAATTGTCATCAAATCTACATCTTTGATTTTTTTCCAAACTCCTCGTTTAAATATAGTTTTTTTCATAGTTTTTTTATTAATCGTGGACTTTTTATAAATGTTTGGATTTTTAATATATATTGTTTCAAGAACTATCCAAGTTTCAAATGTGCAATTTTAAAAAATTTTATTGTGATTAACGGGGATTTAAAAGAAAATGTCAAAATTCTTTAAAAAAAAGGAATTTTTTATAATTTTTCAAAAATAACAGGGTCACAAACGTAGATTTAAAAAAATCAACGATTGGATTTTTTAAAACTATTATTTTCTGGATTTCAAAAAAAATATAGTTTTCAAATAGGGGTTAAAAAATCACGACCATAATCGTGATTTTTTTAATAATGTTTTAATTTTTTTTTTTTTGTAGATTTTTTTTTTCAAATTTGGGTTCTTTAAAAAAGTTTTTCCAACTTTTTTTTTGATTAGCACTATAAATATGGAATTAAAAACAAAAATATTTTTTAAATACCGACACACGGATTTGTTAAAAATATTTTTTCAAGGAAGTTTTTAAAGACTACAAGTATTTTAAAGGAACATACCCGGATTTTAAGAATGATTTTTAAAAATGCCTTAAAGGAACATAAGTGGATTTTCAAGGACCAGGAGGATTAAATGCGGTTTTTATAAAACAATCAAGGATTAATAGATCAATAATCAAGTATTTTTGAAAGTTATTTTAAAGGCCAAAACGTGGACTTTTTTTTTTAAATAATATTTTCAATGAATATCAGACCAAGAATAGGGTTTACAAGAATTTTTAAGGGAACAAAGTGGATTTTTTACAAATATTTTATCAAGGACTAATAATATTATTCAATGAGTTTTTAAGAAAGATTTCCAAGGATCAAATTTATAAATTTATTTATAAGAATATATTTTGAAGGATTGAAAATGCAATACTCAAGGATTAACAGAAAATCAAAAAATTTTCAAGAATATTTTTAAAGGGTCAACCTTGGCATTTTGAAGAATATTTTTTCAAGGATAAACAATCAAGAATTTTTTGGTGATTATTTGTTTAGGAATTTTATCCACGTTTTGTCCTGTAGAATTACTCTTAATTCTACAGGACAAAACGTGGACTATTTTAAAATAATATTTTCAAGGAATATCTGACGCATAATGAAGTATTTTGTAAAAATATTTTTAAGAGGCCAAACGTGTTTTTGAGGAATTTTATATAAGGTCTCTCAGACTAATAACTTCTTCAAGGATTAAGGAAACAGTAGTCAATACATTTTTAAGAATCTGTTTAAATAACCTTGCTTTGTTTTTGAAGAGAAATTTTCAAAAATTAATAGATCAATAATCAAGAGTATATGGGTATGTCTAAAGGACCAAACGTGGATTTTGTAATATAATATTTTCAAGGAAGGACGAATCAATAATCAAGGATTTTTTTGTAATATTTTCATGGTCAATAAAAAAGGATTTTTTGAGAATATTTGTTAAGAGCCAAAATGAATTTTTTAATTACATTTTAAATGGACAGGGCATTAAATTTCAATTTATATTATTTTTATGAACTATCAGGGTTTTTAGAATATTTTTTAAGGATTGTTTAAAATAATTTTGAAAATTGGACTTTTAACATTTTTTCCAAATTTGTTTTTTTTTTTAAATATTTTAAAATATATATTCAAATTTGAATTTTTTAAACTAGTTTTTAATCTTAAAAAATAAAATTATTTAAAAATATTATTTTCTGAAATTGACTGATTTTCTTAAATTTTTTGCAATATTTTTTCAAGAAGTATTAGAACCATAACAAAAGTGGATTTTATGAAAAAAAAAATTGTTTTAAATTAGGATTTCTTAAAAAATCTGTTATATATTTTTTTTAGAAACATAGGATTTTTTAATATTTTTGGAGGACAATATGTATTAACACTAAATTTAAAGAAAAAATTTAAACGTCGATTTCTTGGATATATATTTGTTAAAGAAAATTTGAAAGTGAGATTTAATAAAATATATATTTTAGATATTTTTTAAAATATGCCATTTTTAAAAATATTTTTAAAATACAAGATCCATAACAGAGGATTTTTTTACATATTTCTTCAAGGACTATCAGGCTCATAATCGTGGATTTTAATAAAATATTTTTTTAAATATTTTTTTCAAATGGATTTTAAATTTGGTTTTTTTTAAATTGGACTTTTAAAAAATATCGCTGATTTTTTTAAATATGTCGGCTTATAAAATATATTTCACATATTTTCAACTTTTTATAAAGTAGATTTTTTGACCTCAAGTTCAAACAATTGTTTTTATTAAGAGTCAAAAAAGTCGAAAAACCAGAAAAATATTTTTTAAAAACATTTTTCAAATTGGGATTATTCAAACAAATTTTCCAAAAGAGGATTTTTTAAATAAATATTTTTCAAAAATATTTGGCAGCGATTTAGCCAAAAATTTAACGTTTCAAAAATATTTTTTTAAATTGAATTAAAAAAAATATTTTTTTAACTACTAGCAGAGCCACCAATATTGTGGAATTTTGAGAAATATATTTTTTCAACTACTTCCTAATTGACACAGGTGGCGTATTGAACGCAACCCATTACTCATACGCCACGTCCCACAGAATCGTTTTTTTTTTATACCCTCCACCATAGTATGGAGACTCTGTTAAGTTTGTCAATCCGTTTGTAACACCTCGAAATACAGATTTTAGACCCATGTATATTCTTGATCAGCATAAAATTCTATGTTGATTTAGCAATGTCCGTCCGTCTGTCGGTCTTTGAAAATCACTCTAGCTTCCGAACGAAAATAAGTAGGTTGATAAAATTTTACTCAAATATGCATTATGTCTGCAAGTATTTTGGTATTGAAAATGGGCCATGTAGGTCTACGTCTTCGTATAGCCCCTATATAACGGTACCTCCTGATATTCGGTATTTTGATGATTTTAGGGACATTTTTACCGGAATTGTTTCAAAATTGGTATTTAAAGTTCGTAATAGATACTACGGCTTGGGACAAATAATGGGTCATATAGGTCCACGTCTTCGTATAACCCCCATATAACGGTTCTTCCCGAAATTCGGTATTTTGATGATTAAAGCGACATTATTTATCGGAATTGTTTCAAATTTGAATTTCGTAATGAATACTACAGCCTATGACAGCAAATTGTTTGTGCAGGTCCACGTTTTATAACCCCCATGGTACCACCCTATATTCGGTATTTTGATGATTTTAGCTACATTATAAACCGATTTTTTCAAGTTTCGCTTTTGAATATTGTAATAGCTTGTAACAAAAGTTGCCTATGCATGTATTCGTCGTCGCATAGACCCTAATATACGGCTGCATTCGGTATTTTTAAGATTTTAACAGAAATTATAACAGATTTTATTTTTTTTTTAAATTGCCAAATTTGTACCAAATAATGGAGGGTATTCAAAGTTCGGCCCGGCCGAACTTACAGCTTTTTACTTGTTTTTAAAAAAATGTGTATTTTTCAAACCCAAATTTTTCAAAATATATTCAGATTTGTTTTAAATATTATTTTTAAAAACGTTATATTTTCAAATTGAAATTTTTAAAAAATATATATTTTTTTTTCAAATTGGAGTTATGTTGTTGCAAAATATTAAGGCATAATTCCATAATTTCTGTTTTAATAAAAAAATTTAAAAATTTCCAAACGTGTATATTTTATATTAAAATATTTTTAATTAAAATATTTTTTTCTAAAACAATTTCTTTACAAAATTCAAGGCCACAATCGATAGATTTTTACAAAAAAATTCTTTTAAAATATATTATTCAATGACTATCCGACGTTCCTTATTCAACTAGGTGGCGTATTTGAACGCAACGCATTACTAATACGCCATGTTACACAGCAATTCAGAATCTTTTTTTTTGGTCAAAATTCAAAGGTAGCTACTTTCCTTGAAGACTATGGCTAAAATAGAAGCACGTTTAACGATGACCTATATAGGAAATGTTATTGAAAAAATTAACTATAGACCCAAGTTTTCGTAAAGATTCATAAGAAATGTTTTTACAAAAATGGTCAGTAGTCTAATATAGCCTTCAACAGGAAATATGATTATACTTTGAGAAAATTTCTTTCTATAGCTTTCTATAAAAATTAAGATTATATCACAAAAAATGTTTAGTGAATGGTTGCGTTTTGGTAAACTTTTCTTAAAAAAAAATGTCGCTACAAAAAATATAAAGTTTCTTTGAAAAAATGGATATGTGTTTTGTTGCAAATCTCAGGTTGTGTTAATTCTTGATTTAATACATGGCACCTATTTTCACTTTTTACAGTGAAAATTAAAAAAAAATATTCATTCACAATTACACCTGTAATTTTTCACTTTCCAAAAAAAAAATCATTCTGATTTTTTTATTATTTTATTTTTCAATTGAATTTCGTTTATTTTCAAATCAATACCACAAACTATTTTAAAAATATTTTTTATTTAAGAAAAATATCCAAATTTCCCGAAACAAAATATTTAATTGCCACAAATTGTAGCAAATATTTACCCATGGTATTTGGCGCGCCACTTGAACTCTCAAAACTGATTTCAAGGAATTTTACAACCGAAAAAATGAGCAAAAATTCCATTAATAAGGCGATGTAACCATGGCGGAGCTTTCGCTTTTCTTACAATTATTACCTTAAAATGTCAAAGGGGAAGCAAAAAAAAAAGAGTTGAGTTGCGGATGGAAAGTTCAACGGCAAACTATCCTAATGTGGATTTTGTTCGGCAATAAGTCATTATGGATTCATTCATTTTTCTTTCCAACTTTATCTCATGTTTATTTATAGTTGCCGATTATGCAAAAGTTTTATTTCTAGTCATGAAAGAAACAAGGCAAACAAAGGAAATAATAAGGAAATCCACTTCAAAGGAAAAAACAGAACATAATTACATGTCCTTGCGCCATAGAGGGAATGGTAATAAGAGTCGAGTCTCATTTGGCTTAAACCATTTTCATGTCTTCGTTGAGACTCGTGCTCATTTTGTTGTAGTTTTCATATCCGGAATGAAAAAAAAACTTCTTATGAGGGCAAATTTAATTTGACGAAATTATGAATTGAAGATAAGCGACCTACCGCTAACCGTCATGAACATGCATATTACCTAAGACAATAATATTATTATTGACTAAACAGCGCAACTCTTCAAAAAAAAGGTATGGACACGCAATGTCTCACGGAAATATACAACAAAGTACATGTGGATGTACAGTGGGAGAAGGAAACAGGAAACATAAAAAGTGCACAGTGGTCATATTTGGATATTTCCATGAAGTTTTTTATCACAAACTTGATTTTTGTCTGTGGGTCAATTTAGGATCGTAGAGTCGTGATAAAGCTAAAGTTGTACTAAAAGTAGCAAAAAGTATGACTGATTTAGAAACAACGACCAGGCGAAATGGCTGAAAATAGAATCCTGAAATTTTGCACGAGGTCGAGTCTTTATGCCTATGCATGTGATGAGGCTGGATTTTTGAAAATTCGTACTAAAAGGGTACAAAAAGTACTAAAACTTTAATACTTCGTATTGGCCGGAATTCTGAAACTTAGAATGAGAGTCACTGATTAAGTTCAGGATAGATGTTTCAAAGGCTTTTTGAGAATTCTCACTTGAAGGTTAGGAAAAGTTCTAAAATCGTACTTAACTCCTAAAATTGTACCATTTGGTATTATGTGAACGGAGGATAGAGCTAGAAATTTGGTATGAGAATCAAGGTTGGAAAGTATGATTTGATATATGAAGGTTGTTTTGGGAAATGTATACTTAGTGTGCGAACTGTACTAAATGGTACTAAATTTGGTACAATTCCGTTTTGAAAGAACAGATGAAGCTGGTAATTTTAAATTTTGTGTTTGGGTTCCTGTTGGTGGTTGGTTTGTGAAAAAAAGTGTTTTTGGAAATGGTTACAACAAATGCACGAAAAGTACTATATTGTACCATATTTGGTACAATTTGGAATTGGGCAAACAGATAGTGCTTGAAATCGGAAATTTGGTATTAGGGTCGTTGTTCTTGTGTAGCCTGGACATATGAAGGTGGTTTCAGAATGTGTACCTTAATTGTACAAAAAGTATCGAATGGTACTATATTTGGTATTGGATAAAAGGATAGATGTACAATTCTGCAATTTAATATTTAGATAACTGTTGTTTTCTGAGGTTAAAATTTGGAGATGGATTTGGAAATGCGCTCTGTATTTGAACGAAAATTACTAAATGGTACTAAATTTGGTATTTGGTGATGTGATAAGGCTGAAATCCTCAAATTTGATATTGAGGTCTCTGTTAGTATCTGAATTTAAGATATGGAGGTGATTTTGGAAATGTGTACAATAATTATACGAAAAGTACTAAATAGTACCAAATTTGGTATTGGGTGAAGGGACAGAGCAGGAATTCTGAAATTTGATATTGATGTTTCTGTTGGTGTATAGAATTAAGATATGAAGGAGGTTTTGGAAAAGTGTACTGTAATTGTACGGAAATTGGCATTAGGTGAGAAAATAGGACTAGAATCATCAAATTTGATATGTATGTCACTGTTGGTGACTGTGTTTAAGACATGGAGGTGATTTTGGAAGTGTGTATAAGAATTTTTCGAAAAGTACTAAATTGAACTAAATTTTCTGGTGGAGGAAGGGAAAGGGCTGGAATCCTGAAATTATATATCGAGATAACTATTGGTGTCTGTGGTTAAGATATTGACATGACTTTGGAAATATGTATTGTAATTGTACGAAAATTAATAAATACTGCTGTATTTGGTGGTATTGGTTGAAGGAATAGAGCTGAATACTGAAAATCGATATATATGTCCCAGTTGCTACTATAATAGTACGAAAAGTTCTAAGTAACATTAAATTGGGTATTGGATGAAGGGATAGGGTTGAAATCCTCAAAATTTAATATTGAGGTCTCTGTTCATATCTGCAATTGAGGTATGGAGATGGTTTTGGAAATGTGTTTTATAATTGTAAGAAATGTACTAAAGAGTACTAAATTTGGTATTGGTTGAAGGGATAAGACTACAATCATCAAATTTTATATTGAGGTCTCTGTTGGTATCAGGAATTGAGATATTGAAATAATTCTTGAAATTGTACGAAAAGTACTAAATAGTACTACATTTAGTATTGGATGAATTACAATTTTGTAACACTGTTGGTGTCTACGATAGAAAGATGCAGATTGTTTTGGACGCCCGTACTAAATATTACTAAGATTGGTATTGGATTATAGGATAAATCTGAAATTTTGAATTTAGATACATGGAGATGTTGAAATAGTTTTGGACAAAAGGATTGACTGTGGGTCCATTGTGCAATGGTTTCTCTATATCTTCATCGGTAAACTTCAAAATTACAGATTTTGAAGACTTTTTTGATGTAAAAGGTAAGAATTTTCCTATAATTCTTTCTGAAAATGATGTACAGTATATATTGGAGCTATAGCTATATCTGAACCGGTCTTCACTAAATTTGACATACTAGCTTCTAGACTCAATTCGGTCGTAAGTGTCAAATTCCATCCCATTTGGACAAATATTATTATAATATTTGGTGCACAATAAAATGTAAATCGGACGAAGTTATATATGGGAGCTATATCCAAATTTGAACCAATCTCGATAAAATTTAGCAAATGTATTTCTGAGCTGTATTTGATATATTTCCCCATATATTGTTGTTACAGAGTGCATATTACGGCTGCGTAGGACAAAAATAACAAATCGGATGAACAATATATGTATGGGAGCTATAGCTATATCTGAACCGATTTCGCTCAATTTTGGCATACTTATTTTCAGGCATAATTTGATTCTATGTGCAAAACTCCATACTATTCGGGCAGATATTACACGTTTGGTGCACAATAAAAAGCAAATCGGACGAAGATATATATGGGAGCTGTATCTAAATTTTGACCGATTAACTCCAATTTCAATAGGGTTCGTCCTTGACCAAACAAATGTTGTTTGGAAAATTTCATCTCAATCGCATAATAAATGCGACCTGCATTTTGTTCACAAAAATACATGGACAGACGGACTGACATGCATAAATCAACTCAGAAAGTGATTCTATGGAGATCCTCAAAAGTAAATATGGGTCTATCTCGTTTCCTTTTGCCTGTTACAAACAAATGCACAAACACATAATACCCTTACCACTATGTGGTGTAGAATATAAAAAGGCTGGATGAACTATTTGAACGAATCTAAAATTTTAAGGTGGACTTTTCGCTGATGATGTAGGCCAGAAGAAATGGACTGATAAATTCCATATTCACATCAAATCTCTTCGTGAGAGAGAAAGAATCGCTAACTTCTTTGAAGTTATGAGAGGTTGTTTATTAAAATATTGAAAATATTGGCCCTTTGTGAGAGAGGTACCAGAAGGAATAAGCTGATATCTATCATTTTCGTATCAGATTTTGTGTTAATAGAAATACTGAAATTTGTGAAGTTTAGGAAGGGTCGAATGCTAGCAAAGGTGTAAAACCATATGGCTGGAGGTATAAGCATGAGCATTGTATAATGGGGACAGGGTTTGGGTGTTGGTCCAATTTCGAAATTGTAATTCTTTTCAATGTCTTTTAGGTGAAAAATATGGATTTCTTAACAAATTTCATAAATCATTGAATTTTTATTAAATTACATTTTATTAATTTTTTTCCCGACCCGACCAAAAATCTAAGAATTTTAAGAATATTTATAAGGACATATTAGTAAAAAAATGTATGTATTAACCAAATACCATCAGTTCCACAATCCAGACAGTGATTCTGTAACATGTCCACAACAATTTGAAGGAGGAATGTAACCTTTACTAACATCCTTGATTTTTAAATAAAACAACCATTCTTTTTTTCTTTTCTTTTTATATATGTATTTTTTTCTTTCTTTGTTTTTTGTTTTGTTTTAGTTTGTTTCATTAATATTATTTACTTAACTCTTAACTTTAATTTCAAAATATGTTTATGTATATATATTTATTATTAAACGTAATTGGTTGGTTTTGTTTTTCATTTTTTGTTTTTTTTTTTCTTCATTTTTTTCTTTTTTTATTTTCATTAAGTTACATACTAAATTACACTTTAATAAAAATTAGAAGAACAAGAGAAGAAAAAACATTTAAAAAAATAAAGAAAAAACTGTATTAAAAAAATTAATTCTAATCTAATGAAACAAGTGGAGTAGAAGTTTAAGAAGACTATATAAGATTGGAACAAAAGGCGGGGGGAGGATGGTTAAAACAAGTTTTTTTTTAATTATTTATATATATTTATAGATTATTATTATTATTATTATTATTATTTATACGTATATTTATGAGAACAATGGAGGTTTGTTGTTTGTTTCATTTGATTTCATTGCAAAATGATGTGTGTGAGTGTTTGGGGGGGGGGGGGTTTGTAGAAAGAAACAACAAACATAAAAAATTAATAGAAATGACTTAATCTGAGTTAAAATAAAAATTATTTAAAAAATATAGTTTTAAAAAATTGCAGAAAAAAGGAATAAAAAAAATATTGTAAATTTATTTTGTGTGTGTGGGGGATAGCCCGGGGGTAAAGAGAGTAGCAAAAATAGAGAGTAATAAAAAAAAAGATGTCACCAACATCTAAATTGTTTTATTGGTATTAGTAACGTGATATGAATTGGAGACGAAGACAAATAGTAATAGAGGTTATATAACTATGTTTATTAAAAAAAAAACAATAATAATAAAGAATTTGAAAATAATTGAAACAACATTAAAAAGTATAAAAACAACAACCTAAAAAAGCAGGACCCTTGTTACGCCCAAGTAAACGGTGTCTTAAGTTTTAAATATCTGAAAGGTAATTTCTCTTCAGTGTTGCCAGAAAATAAGTTGAGGTTATGAAACGATGGTCTTTCAGATGGTGTTATAAAGACAGGCAAGCTGCAGCCCTTTAAAAATAATTGCAATAGAATTTAGATAATGGTTTCTAATGCCCTATCCTTAATTCTTTTGAATTTTTTTGTTATTTTTTCGGTCATATAATGTTTGAAGATGTTTGTCCCCTTAATGACTATTCTACTAGCCATTTTAGGGCCCAAATATCTGATAAACTATAAATAATTGTTTTAATATATAATCTTTGTTTAAACACTAATCTCTCCTGATAAGATCGATTTGAACTTGGATCAACATCAGATCAATTCAAGATTTTAAACAAAAAATTCCCTCAAAGAAGGTGCGTAGTTTGTCCTTACAGTGAATATTGACATGTTTACATCAGGCCACTCATTGAACAAAATCGAGGAATTTTTAAGAATACTTTTTGGACATCTTAACCAAAAAAAATTATGGATATTTTTAAGGACCTCTTGAACGAAAACAGTAGTATTTATTGTTTTGTTTTTAAGGACTTCTAGATAAAACAAACATGATTTTTTTTTTAAATTTTGAAGAACCTCCTGTCCCAAAATCAAGCTGTTTATTACAATATTTTAAAAGGATCTTTGACAGCAAATCGAATTTTTTTAAGAATATTTTGTTGTATGTCTTGACCAAACTTTTTTAAAGATATTTTTAAGGACCTTTTGACCAAAAAAGAGGTATTTATAAAGAATGGTCAAAAGGTCCTTACAAATATCTTTAAAAAATTTGGTCAAGACATACAACAAAACCAGAAAAACTACAGTTCATGAGTTTTAATTTATTCAAAATAAAACTCCAGTAGAAGATCTCTAAAAAGTCTATTGTCTTTAGAAACCTGTAACCTGACGTCTGTCTTTTGAAGGCCTATAAATAGAGTGTTCATTATAAGAGGACTGACAGAAGGATATGCTAATCATAGAAGGCCTTTAAAAAATATGTCGTCTATCCATCGAAGATTTGTCCTTTAGAGAAGTGTTTCAGTTTTCTATATTTAAAAAGAGGACATCGTTTAGAGAAATTACTTTATGGGATGTGGAGTAGTATTTCGAATTGACCAAAAATACAAAAAATACTACAATTTCTACCTTCAATCGACTGAGTGTCTATCTTCTTTCGATGGATGATATTTTTTCTATCGGAGGAGGATTTGTATTATATTGAATAAATATCTGTCTTTTATGGATGTTCTGTTTTCTTTCAATGAAAAATATATATTCTGTCCATGACGGATTCATAATGTTAAAAAGTGGAGACGGTCCAGGTCAAATCAGATCTCTTGTACAAGATTTAAAGAAAATCGTTGACAAATTTCGCATGTTAAGCGAGTTATAATTTTCAAAAATCAAAACAAATTGATGAAAATTTAATTGACCCTTTGTGGGGGAGTTACCAGAAATTATCGGTCCTTCATAGCAGATCCTGTGTAGTATTAGGTTGATTCAAGCTGCCTAATGTTTGTTTATTTATAATATTAATCTGTTGTGGGAGGTATCAGAAGGAAAAGTTAGTTTTATCCATTTCTCATACCTGATCTTGTGTTGGTCTGAATATTTGGATGTGCGAAATTTGAAGACAATAGGACTCTTATTTCACATTTTATAGTAGTTATTGTAATTCAAAATGTTGACCCGTTATGGGGAAGGTTATAGAAGAAATGGACCGATATATTCCATCTTATTTAAAATGTTGACCTTTGTGGAGGTGTGAGCTGGTATATGCCATTTTCACACCCTATCTTGTAATGGCTAAAATATTGGGGTGTGTAAAATTTAAAGAGAATTTGATGCATATTTCGCATTTTAGATATTCCAAATATCCAAAGGAGTTGTCTGACATATCCCATCTTCCCATCAGATCTTGTTTTGGTAGTAATATTGAGATGTGCGAAGTTTAAAAATAATCGAATGCTTATTTCGCATTTTATGAGAGTTTTGGTTATTCCAAATTTTGACCCATTTGTCGGGGAGATACCGATTTTGTAATGGTAAAAATATTGGTATGTGTGAAATTTGAAGAGAATCTGCATTAAATTTCGCATTTTATGAGCGTTTTAGGTATTCCAAATTTGGACCCTATGTGAGGGAGGTACTAGAAGAAGTAGTCCGATCTTGTCCATTCTCGCACCCAATCTTGCGGTCGTGAAAATATCAGGATTTGCAAAGTTTGCTCGAAATCGGATTATTCGTTCTCTTTCTATGCGGTAAATTATTTTCATTAAAAATTCTGATCTTCTGATTCTGAGGAAGGTACTAGAAGATGTGAGCCGTATTGCCTATCTCCGAACGCGATCCGAGTTTGACAAAAATATTACGATGTACCAAGTTTGCACCAAATCGGATACTCCCTTCGAGAGTTATCGAAGCACCAGCCAGACAGACAGACGGACGAACGAGCATCGCTAAATCGACTCCAAATGCCCTGAAACGGAATTGGTCCAAAGAAACCTGTGGTCTAAACACGTTATTTCGACTATGCACGTTTTGGCCGTATCAAATGATATATACCCTCTCTCTAGCCGTATGACTGAGGGCATAAAAACACCTATATTTTCAACCAAGGCCAATTTAGTAAGGCAACACTGGAGACGTATTCAAGCGTTAGTCTTCTCTTGGTGTCACAAGATTTTCTGCGTGGAATCCATCAAGCCCTACATAAGGTCGGCCAAGAAGACTGCTTTTGACAATATGTTTATTGTAGCTTTGAGGTATTGTCATTTGACTCTCTTTGAATTTCAAATCACAATATGTCTGTCAAACTTAGCTGTCCGATGGGTTAACAGGCCGACCTTATACAGGCCATGCTTTAAAACTTGTATTTAAATTTTTTGGCAAAAATATATCTATATTTTAAATTTTAATACGTTTTGACAGAAAAGAAATTGGAAGGTGAGAAGGTGGTACCTCATAGCGATAATTTTTCTCTTTTTTACATTATCTGAAGACTATAATTCTGTACGAAAAATCCAAATTCATTACATATTCCAAATACCTCGCTAGAAAACACGTTTCTTTTTTCAATATTTTGCCACTGTAAACACATTTTGTTTATAACCTCACTTTTTGGCAGCTTTTAAAATCGCAATGTTTACAATATTTCAGTTACAATACTAAGATCGGGTAATACACAGTTTGTAAGTTCCTATCGTAATCCTCTAAAGAAAATGTTTATATACTTTTTTAAAATTTAAATTTTTAGTTTTTTGTAACATAACCTCAACAATTTAAAACATTTTAAAAAATTTCCATAACTTAACCTAAGACACCGTGATATTATTATGATACTTATAATTAGATCCTAAATGGGGGGAAGGGAGTTACAAATGTTGGTGGTATGTATTGTGTTCTGTTCTTTTGCCTTGAGTTGAGAGTTGAGTTGTAGAACAAAATGTTTGTTGTGTTATCTTATTTTCTGTTTTCTGTTTTCTTTTTTCATTCTCTGTTTTAGTAAGTTATTATTCTTATTATGTTTACAAAATCAAAACAAGAAAATTCTACAATTGGCTATTTATACTTTAGCTATATTGTATATGTAGTACATATTTTAAAGAAAGGGTGATGGGGGTCGGGATATACAAAAATTGTGTTTTTTCGAAATTTTCTGGTTAAACAAATAATTTCAATTAATTCCAAAAAAGAACCTAAGGATTTGTTTTTCATTATTTGTATTACTGCTATTGTTTTGTGATTTGTTCTTTTTTTCCCATTATTGTTGGTTGGTTTTGTTGATTTCATTCAGATAAATTTGTTTTATTCTAAAATTTGCATTTTTTGTTTTTGTATCTTCTTATTTTCATTATTTCTTTTCATTTATTAATTATTGCAATTATTTTCAAATTCATATTTGTATTTTGTTGTTGTATTTTGTTTTTTTTTTTTTGTTATTATTATTATTAATATAATTAAAACTTAATTAAAAACCGGTATTATAACTCCATATCTCTTGCCTCATCTTCACTATAATCTGACATACTCGATTCGCTATCACTGCTCTCGCGCTCCACCTGGGCAGCCCGCAAGGCCTCTTCGGTGGCAAAACGTTTTACATAATCGGCAACCTTACGATGATATTCTTCGGGTTCGTGTAAATACAGGGAGGCTGCATCACGATTTAATGGATCCACTGGATTGGGATATGTGAGCAATTGTGGCAAAAATGATTCGAAGATATTCGACAAATCATAGAGGGCGGTCCAGGCTTGATTGATGACATCCAAACACACCGTCCCAGACGATTCATCAATGTTTGGATGATAGATCTTATTCACGAAACCTATGCTCGGCGATTTGAAGGGATAGTTGTCGGGCAGGTAGACACGAACCTTCCAAACGCCACCCTCATACGGTGTCCCATGGGGCCCGAAGAATTTCACATGGAATTCATTAAGGCCACCAATGATGGTAACTTCATGTTTTGATTCGATTAATTTGATGACATCATTGTCCATGCGTCGTTTGCCAGCGCTCGGAGAAGACATTTTGCGGTTGGGTTTTTGATTCTGTTTGTTTGTGTGTGTGTATGCGGGGGAGGAGGAGGAGGAGGCTTGGTAAGCTTAAATGAATTTGAGTTTCTTTTCGATCGATCAACTTCCCGCTGGCTTAATCGAACAACCAACTCTAAAGGTTTTGGCACCAATGATTAGACTGGCCCAGCAGCAATTTCAGTTCGAAAATCTCCTTGGCATTGAATTCTGAAAAAAAGACAAAAAAAATTGAAATAATTTTATTAAAAATATAAAATTTGAAAAATAAATATTTGTCACTTGAATAAAAGTAAATAGTGGGTCGTACAAAATCCGGATAAGGCCCTCTATGAGACACCTAGATATGACAAGTTTTTTATGAATACCTTGAAAGTTATTCTATGAAAGCATGGTTCCTATGAACGAAAGTCCTTTGAAATTTCATCTATTGGAAGATATCTCAGGAAGTCCATGCAGGGTATATTTGTTTATATGTGATGGAAATATTGAGATGTACCAAATCTGAATGAAATGGGATGTTCATTTCGCGATTTATGAGCTGCATGGTTTTTCAAAATTTTGACCCTTTGTGGGGGAGATACCAGAAGGGGTGGACCGATATATTCTATCTTTAGGACAGATCTTTTGTTAGTAGAAATAATGGGATGTGTGAAATATGAAGAGAACCGGATGCTTATTTCGGATTTTATAATCGTTTTGGTTATATTCAAAACTTCGATGCTTTGTGGGGGAGGTACCAGAAGAAATGGTCCGATCTGAACCATCTTTATAACAGGTCTAGTGTTGATAGAAATATTAAGATGTGCCAAGTCTGAATGGAATCGGATGTTAATTTCCCATTTTTTGAGCTTCATGGATATTCAAAATGTTGACCCTTTGTGGGGGAGGTACCAGAAGGAGTGGACCGATATATTTCATCTTCACACCAGACCTTGGACCAATAAAAATATTGCAATGTGTGTAATTTGAAGACAATCTGACACTTACATCATATTTTATAAGAGTTGTAATTATTCAAAATTTCGACCCTTTGTGGGGGAGGTACTTGATGGAGTGTACCGATATTGTTCATTTTCGCACCGACATAGCTCTGATGCAGATATTAAGATTTGCAAAGTTAAGGCAAAATCGGACTATTCTTTCTCTTTCTGTGCAGTAAAATGCTTTTTTTTAATTTCGATCTTTTGTGGGTGAGGTACCAGTAGGAGTGGACCGATATTGCCCTTCTCCGAACTCGATCCAAATTTAATAATAATATTACGATGCACCAAGTTTGGACCAAATCGGATACTCCCTTCGAAAGTTATCGTGCGCACCAACCACTCAGGGCATCGGTAGATCGACTCCAAATGTCCTGAAATGGATTTGGTCCAAAGAGACCAAATTTGGTCTAAAACCGTCATTTCGGTGAGACAAGTTTTGGCCGTATCAAATGTTATATACCCTCTCTAGCCATATATGACTGAGGGTATAAAAACTAGTAAAAAGGGCTTAAAGTTCGCTGGGGTCGAAATTGTTATCCCCTCCACGAATATGGGTATCAAAGTAAAATGAAAAAATGAAAAGAGTAGAACGTGTTCTCTTAGAATATTCAATTAAAATGAAAACATAACCCAAATAACAAAAGCCATTATCGAATTTGCTTGGAAATTGTGGCAGAACCATAAAAAAATACCGAAAATCGGGGGAGACTGTTATATGGGGGGCTATACCAATTTGTGGACCTGAATCGAACATTTTTCGCAAGGCGTGAACGGACCGTTTAAGAATTCCAAATGTCATGTTTCAGCTGATTTGGTTGGAAATTGTGGCAGGAACCTTTAAAAATACCGAAAATTGGGAGGTACCAATTAGTGAACCTTAATTGACAATTTTTCGCCAGAAGAGAACGGAACTACCGGGCACCCCAATTGTAGAGTTTCAGCTTTCTTGGTTGGAAATTGTGGCGGGACCTTCAAAACACCGAAAATCGGGAGGTATTGTAGCGAATATTTTTGCGCGGAGAGAACAGACCTACCGAGAATGCCAACTGTAAAGTTTCATCTAATTTGGTTGGAAATTGTTATATTAACCTTCAAAATACCGAAAATCGGGAGGTATCGTTATATGGAGGATATACCAATTAGAAGGCCTGGGAAACCAGGGAGAGAACGGACCTTCCGGGAACCCCTACTGTCGAGTTTCATCTAATTCGTTTGGAAATTGTGACAGAAACCTTCAAAATAGCGAAAATCTCAAGGTACCGTTATATGGAGGCTATACCAATTAGTGGACCTGAATCGAACATTTTTTTTGTAAGGAGAGAACAGATCCACCAAGAACCCCAAATGTGAAGCTTTAGCTAATTTGGACGAAAAAAAAAATTGCAGAAAATTCCAAAATACCGAAAATCGCAAGAGACTGTTATGTGGATGCTATACCAATTAGTGGACCTGTGCTGAATATTTTTTGCAGGGAGAAAACTGATCTACCAAGAACCCCAATTATCAATATTCCTCTAATTTGTTTGGAAATTGTGGCAGAAACCTTCAAAATATATGGAGGCTTTACCAATTTGTGGACCTCTAGCGAATATTTTTGAGAAGGAAAGAACAGACCTACCGAGAACCCCAATTATCAAGTTTCAGCTAATTTGTTTGAAAATTGTGGCCTTCAAAGCCTTCAAAATACAGAAAATCAGGTCCACTATACCAATTAGTGGACCTGTAGCGAATATTTTTTGCAGGGAGAGAACGGACCTCCCAGGAACCCCAATTGTCGAGTATCAGCTAATTTGGTTGAAGATTGTGGCAGAAGCCTGCAAAATACCGAAAATCGGGAGGTACTCTTATATTGGGGACTATACCAATTAGAGGACCCGTAGCGAATATTTTTTCGCAAGGAGAGAACTGATCTACCGAGAACCCCAATTATAAAGTTTTACTTAATTTGGTTGAAAACTGTGGCCGAAACCTTAAAAACCGAAAAATTTGGAAGTATGGAGGCTATGCCTAAACTATGCTATAGCCCATTTTCAATATCAATCAGTCTGCATATAATATAAATCTTTTTGCTAAATTTCAAAGCTCTAGATTGAATAATGTGGATTTTATCCTGATTTCAACAGACAGAAGGACGGACAGAGAGCTGAATCGCCTTATTATTTTATTTCGATCAGAAATATATACACTTTTTAGGGTCTCCGACGAGAATTTTTCGGTATTACAAACGAAATGACAACTTTTATATGCCCTCCTCCATTGTATTGTGGAGATTATAAAGAGCTTCCAAAGAAATACCTTTCTACCTCCCGCTCTTTACACCATAATACCCCTTTATCCGCAAATATATATTTCATATAAATTTCAATATTCATGACAAAAAAAAATATCCACCAAAAACAAAGACCCCACCACACACGACACTTAAAAACTGCATACTCTCACACGTTTTACAAAACATACACACACACACACTCACACAAACACCACATCGCACTTTTGTTGAACGTGAGTGCATTCAAATTTTGCAAAGAAACTGACGAAAATGTTGTATTGACGTCAATGTTGCTGTTTTTTTTTTATTTTGTTTTGTTTTTGTTAAACAATTTCAATGCAACTTACAGAAGTCTGTCCGTCCCTTCGTCCATTTCAAGAACATGTTGTGCGCTGCTGCTGCTGTCGTTGTTGCAATGACGACGATAAAGATGGCAACGCCAGCAGAGATTCTTCTCTGCCGCAGAGTATGCTCGTGTATTTACATGCATGCAAGCAGCAATCAAATGCAGCAACTGAGACCGTGGCAGCAGCAAACATAAGAAGAACATTGAAGGCACAGAGGAAAACATGAATTGAATGGAAACAAAATGAGGTCAGTAGGTCAGCAGAGTAGAAATAGCACTACTACTAGCTGCTGGTAAATAATGTGCCATTTTACACCATATTCCACATGTCCTCCTGCTCCGCCTCTCTTCCCTTACGGGCATCTTAATCATTGGTTGGAAATTAGGTTTCCAGTTAATAGGTGGCAAACGTTGTTGGCCCCATTGAACTCTTTTTTTCTCTTTTGCAAATATTTCTCATCCTTTCCACCCTCTCTCGAATTGTGTCACTGTTTGATGTAAAGGCCACCAGGTTTGTAGGTCTCAGTAATATTAACACTTTTTTGTGGCATACTTTTAGGCATTGTTGAATAGTTGATAGCGTGGAGGCAATAAGCCATCCTCTTGTTATTAAGAAATAGTAAAAGCAAAGAATGATAGAAAAAGATAACAATAAACAAAAAACCTGATCAAAAGGCTTGATAAATTTGGAAAACGAAATAACAGAGACGTGGCAAGTGGGAGGGAGGGGGATATTAGTGTTGACACAGTTTAGTTACAGAATTTTACATTTTAAGCAATATTTTCCCGCATTAAAGCCCTTAATAAGGTTTGGTTTGACAGTACAACAACTGCTACACTCGGAGATCTTTGGTCCAATGAGTTCATCCTAGGGAGAAATGAGAAATTTACAGATAGTAGAGATATAGAAGCGAGAAGAAGAAAAAAGATTTTTAAAGAGACGGATAATGGCTGTGGCAAATTTGAGACAAAATATCCAGTGGCTGGAAGCTAGGAGCATATCCAAGGTAGATTGGGGAGTAAGGTTCCATGACCCTGTTGCACCAACAGCCACTCGTTGATGATGCAGAGGCTTTTAAACAAGAACGTTTGGGTTTTTCGGGTATCAAATGAGACAATTTTGCTGGTTGACGTAGACACCGAGGTGGAAGGAGAAGAAACGATTTATAGAGAGAAATGTAGTTAGGAGGGTGGTCTGCCTAACCAGGGAATGGCTTTGGCAAATTTGTAAATGATGATGTGGATCTATGTCTGAGAAGAACTTTAGGGTTTCTATCTCCCACCTGTCAAATAGCCCACGCCTCTTTTTAGATAACATGACACATGTTCAAAGTAGATGTTCAATCTCTTTACCTCCTCTTCATCTTTACATGGTCTGCAGTAATTAGGAAAACTGTAGTCCCATCTTGAGGTCAGATATCGGATACTGCAGTGCCTACACCGATTGTAAGATCAGACATACTAAGTGATAGAAGGTAAGGAGCCTGTTCTTCTCATCAGGATTACCGGCCAGATGTCTTTAGATACCTTGCTGCTACCGGTTTCCAAGTGCCTTCTTCTTCCGACTTCTTCGATGAGAGAATTTTTAAAGCAGCTAATCGTAATA